AAGCTTAAATTCTAATTAATTCTTTTTTGATGCCCAGAGGCTAGGCACTGCTTATAAAGTTCTTTAAATTTTTTTATTGCATTTCCTAATTTTTTTCCATTAGCTGCATTTTGTTGAAATGCAGTGACTGCTCATGTATTGTCTGCACTTTCCTCCTTGGGTACCATGGCCTACTAATGATATCAAGTATTGGTAGGCCACCATCCAGAGGGAATTGTTCCTTAAGATACAGTGTTCCCCCTTCCTGATGAAGATTAAGAATGATTACTAATTATATAGATGGTGATTTTTTTTTTTTTTTTACTTTGTTTATTTCAATGCATTGGTAGCATGGAGCAGTTTAGTAAGAATAACCCAAGTCTCATTACTCTTATTAGATTCTCAAGGGAAGTTGCTCAGTGATTGTATAATGTTCTTGGATGTAACATAATGGTATATTATATATGATAACAGAACCTGTATGCAATAATTTTGTGTTACTTGCTTTCCTTTTGTTACTTCAGAAAATAATCCTTCTTGCTGATGTTTGATTGAACTGTGGTGGGACTAGATATTTATCTGTTTTCTGAAATAATGTTTATTTTACAGAATTCAGAGTAGTTCAGGACCAGGATGGAGTCCCTTTCAGCACAGTTTGATGACCTGATGCGCCAGATGCAGGTTCTGGCAGATCCAGCTGAGTACAGTATGTATATTGTCAGTCATGATAATTATTTTTTTGAGTAATGTTTATTTATATTTCATGAACCCCCAGGATAGAAGTTTGTAATTAGTATAATAGCAGAATCATGTGAAAGGTGCAGATCTTCAGTATGTTTAAGACCACATCCCCTATAATATCTCTCCACCTTTTTTTTTTTTTTTTTTTTTTTTCAGAATTCCTCGAATTTTTAGACCATGAAGAGAAAAATCGAGTTCAGCTTAGAGAACTTGAAGCAGAAGTGAGCCGTCTTAATGAGCAAGCAACAAGATACCAAAAGGAAATTAAGAGCCTGGAGATGAAATTAAAAAATGCAAAGCACATGCTTGATGTGGAAAAGGCTAAAAGGATTACAACAGAAAAAGAGAAAAATGATTTGGTATGTATTTACTTGTGTATGATAAATCAAATGAGATCACACAAATGAACCAATTTTCTTGCTGCAGAATATTTCTACATTCTGGTTACCACTTGTAAAATTGAAATTATGTGTGAAGTGCACTGACCAGCATCCTCTGCTAGAGATTTGAGATTAAGGGGACCGTCTATTTTTTTTTTTTTTTTTCTTGATTTTGATGAAACACACCCTTTTATTTAGACCCCTTCCCATTGCCTTTGGTTGATTTACTCGAAATCAGCCAAACAGTTTTTGAATTATTGTCAAAAAAATCTGATAATGCGGTGAGGGGGGCAAACTCTCCAGTCTTCAAAAACAATAAGACATTCAATTTTATTTGATTTTTGGACAGAACTACCTTATAGCTACAACTTGATCATTGTAGATTTTTTTATTTTTTCATATTTTTTTGGTGAATTTTTGAAGTAGGGGTCTTCATGAAAAAAAAAAAAAAAAAAAACGTAAAATTTTTCTTACACTTCTCCATTTTACAAGAAGCACAGGCAAAAATTGAAAAATCCACAACAAATAAGTTGTAGATATTTTATTTTTTCTACAAAATGAGCCATAATACGTTAATTTTGGACAAAAACTGCACCTGTGAGGAATAAGAAGCACATGAAAATATTGCAAATCCTTATTGCAGCATGTAATAGATCTACTATTCAGCTACAAAATGAGCCATAATACGTTAAAATCAGACTGAAAATGTGTGCTATGCGTAAAAATGTGAAGGACCTAATAATCGCAATCTTTTTCCTTTTCATTATTTATATATTTTACATGACAAATCATGTATGAAATACTTGTATATGATATAATTATCTATTATTTACCTGTTATTGTTGGTCTAATGGGGTTTTACACCGTATGATATTGGTCGAAAAAATAACTATTCTCCAGTTGGACAGGTATCATACGTGTCCTTTTCTCAGCGCAACCAGGTGTCGCAGTATTATGACGCACATTTCTTTGCATCTGTGGCCCCCCCAATCCCTTGCCCGTTGTTGTCGTGGGGGGGCTTAGATCCCGCCTTGGATCTCAGCCCTTGCCTCAACTAATTTTGTACGGTCTTTTTCTACTTCTTCTTTCTCTCTCTTATCTTCCCCAACCCTTCCCCTATCAAACTCCTAAGATGTAAGAGCCGTGTTGAAAGGATGAAAGGCTGACCTCGTGCCAATCATGAACGGCCTCAGGGAGCCATGGGCACAGTATTCCTTGATAAATCATTTAGTCCTTACCCCTTACAGGGACTCTGAGGGGTGGACCGTTTACTTTCCCCAAATAAAACCAGGCTTTCCATGGCCAGTAATGAAGATTTTGTACCCTTATTAGGGGCATTGAGGCTTGCTCCTTTATCAAACAGCCTCTCTGAATCTGAATCCTCTAGTTTACCGACCCTTGACTCCCCTTTGACCATGGCTCAGAACACTACTATTACACCTCCCTCCTCTATACATACTACCAACCTACCCATCCTGAATCATCTACCCAGATACTAACTCAACCCTTAGAAGATATCCCATCCTCACTCTAAGCATCATCCAGCCCACTTCATGAACAATCATCTTCACATTATACCCAAACCTCCCTTATCACAACTCTTCAACCATATCGCCCACACCTCCATAATAAAACCTCACCTCACACCACTCCCTCCTCCTCCCGCCCTCGCCCCTCTACAATTCCCACTTCCTCAAGCTTTTTGAATAATCTGTTTAAACCAGCCAAATGGGACCAATACTTTATAGTTCCCCCAACAGCCCCTCACTCAGATAACACCCTACTCTTTCAACAATGCCTCCAAAAACAAGTTGGCAAAGTTTTCTTCTGTAGTCGTCCTGATCGATCACGGTTAATCACAGTTATGTCTGAGACTCAAGCTAAAGTACTATCTACCCTGGTTGACCTCACTGGCAAACCTATACCCGTTCTACCTCACCCTTCCCTTAATATATGTACTGGAACTATTTCCCTCTCCTCAGTTGATTGCCCTGTCTATGAAAAGGACTGGACAGACTGTGAAAATGACCTGCTTGGTTGCCTCACTGAATATGATGCTGAATCAGTACAGTGCTACTCTATTCCCCCCAGAGGCAATCGTAAGTCCAGCATCAATATTGCCAAGATTACCTTTTGTAGACACGACCTTCCCCATAAGGTCTATATAAGAGGGGTTTCTTGTCATGTAAGACCATGTCAACCCCCACCCCGCCAATGCCAGAAATGCTGGCCACCCTGCAAAGCTCTGTCGGTCTACAACCCGCTGCCCACTATGTGCACAACCTGGTCATGAGCGTACAAACTGCCCTGCACAATCACATACATGTGCAAATTGTGGCGGACCTCATAATGTATTCCATAGAGGTTGCACAGCCTACAAATTTGAGAGTGAAGTAGCAAATCTCAGGTTCAAACTAGGACTCACTCTACGAGAAGCCAGACAAGAAGCATGACGAAGAGGTTTTTCAATCACATCATACTCCAGTACCTTACATCAATCCACTCCCATCCATACTACCCAAGTGGTCTATACATCTACAGCACCACTTTCCCCTGCTCCTCAACTTCCCATCTCCAATTCTCATATCCCCCAATCAAATCCTTTTCCATCCTAAATCCAGATACTCCAATATCCACAACTCCCATGTCTCTTCCTACTTCACACCTTGCCAGTCGCATCAGACAACCCAAACATCCCACCCCATCCTCTCCTACCAGATCCCATCCCACACCTACACCCTCAAATTCTCAGATACCGATCTCTCTTCACCTCCCCATAAAGACCCCCCCCCCCCCTTGAGGACATAAGAAAGTTCCTCCTTCTCAACCATCCATCAATTTCTCTACCCAGATTCCCGCTGCATTCACAGTGACTGCCGAAATCCATCCTCCCCCTCCTGACATCCCCCCTACCCCTCTTCCTCCCACACCTTCCCAACACACCCTATCCACTCCACCACCCGTACCTAAACCAAAAACCCTTCCTTCCCTACTATCCCTACCACTCCCTCCTGGATACACACGTGAATCCCTTCTAGCACAATGTCCTTCCCCAGATCCCACCTTTCTTGATGAACCTCCAGATTCTATACCTTCACCTTTTCCCCCTGACCCTCCTTCCCATGATGATTCTCTTGATACTACACTACACCTCCATCCCCTGATCCCATACCTCAACCTCCAGATACCCCTCCTCTTACCTCTCAGACACACATTGCCACCCATAATAGTTGAAGAATGATCCACAATGGCTCTACTGCAGTGGAACATTAGAGGCTTTCGCTCACACAGACCTGATCTCCGCCATCTTCTCTCTTACAATCCATCTATCGTCTGCCTCCAAGAAACCTTCCTCACACATCCTCCAGTACCAATTCCCAACTACCATTTTGTGTCACTCCCTCATTCTATATTTGCTTCTTCCATACTTGTTCATCATAAAACACCATATATCATACCTCCTTTACAAACCACTATACCTTGCACAGTTATCCGGATTTTCCTCCGCCGCTGGATCACAATCATTTCAGTCTACTTCTCTCCTTCCCTCCCTATTGACTTCCTAGAATTTGAGACCTTACTTTCCCAACTCCAACCACCTTTCCTAATAGCTGGAGACTGTCATCATACTCTTTGGGGTGACTCTATTATCAATACAAGGGGTCGCTCCTTAGAACAATTTCTAGCTAAAACTGACCTTATCCTCCTAAACTCCAACAGTCCCACTCATTTCGACCTACGCACTCAATCTTTTTCATGCCTAGATCTCTCTTTGCTTTCCTATCCTTCATATAGACTTCCACTGGTCTGTCCTAAACAATTTTCACTCTAGTGATCACTTCCCAATTCTTCTTTCTTCAACATCCTATATCCTGCTCCCAAATCCCCCTCGCTGGTGCTTTGACAGAGCAGACTGGAATACCTTTACCTCTCTATCTACTCTTGAAATTCCTCCATCATCATTCTCTACCACCTCAGAAATGCTCCAATACTTCACAACTAACGTCCTAAATACAGCCTATATAACCATCCCTCGAACATCCTGACCTTACACCTCAAAATGTGTTCCATGGTGGAACCTTGAATGTACAAAAGCACTTCGTCTGAAGCGCGCAGCTTGGAATAGCTACCGACACAAGAGAGGCACCCCAGTCAACTAACAGCCTTCATATCTTTTAAAAAAGCATCAGCCCATCTTCGCTGTACAATTCGTAACTCCATGACAAACAGCTGGCAAAACTATGTATCCTCCATAACATCCTCCAAACCAATCTCTGCAGTCTGGCCGCGGATCCATAAGTTATCCGGAAAACATCCTCCTCATCCTGCCCCTGTCCTCCATATTCATAATAACCTCATCTCTGACCCTCTTCAAGTAGCTACTGAACTTGGTGCCTTTTTTAGCCAAGTCAGTAGTGGCTCTCATCTTTCTCCTCATTTCTCTTCCTTAAAATCAGACAAAGAGCGCACTCCTATCTCCTTCTCCCTATCATCTACAGAACCTTATAATGCACCCTTTTCTTCTTCTGAGATCTATAATGCACTTCAGTCATGCCGCAACACCCATGAAGGACCAGACGGTATACATTACCGTATGCTAAGACACCTTTCTCCTACTTCCTTATCCTTCCTTCTTTCAATATTCAATAACATATGGACGACTGGAAACTTTCCTCCCCACTGGAGAGAAGCCATAGTATTACCTTTCCTGAAACCTAACAAAACAGGTACTCTTCCCCAAGACTACTGCCCCATAGCCCTAACAAGCTGCCTATGTAAATTAATGAATGAATGATAAATTTCAGATTGATGTGGTACCTAGAATACCACCAAATCATATCACCAAACCAATTCGGATTTCGTCGAGGCAAAAGCACAGCTAACCCACTAGCCTATGCAGAAACACTAATCACTTCAGCATTTGCACGCCGCGAGTCAGTATTAGCTGTCTTTTTCGATCTCGAAAAAGCATATGATACTACTTGGCGGCACCATATACTACAACAGCTATGTTTCCACGGAATACGTGGAAACATGGGTGTTTTTATAAAATCCTTCCTCTGACCGCACCTTCCGTGTCAGATTTGCCTCTTCCACTTCCCCCTCCTTTCCTCAGTTTGAAGGTGTCCCACAAGGCAGTGTACTGAGCACCACACTGTTCCTCATAGCTGTAAACGGATTAATATCCGCTTTACCACCAAAAATCCGTTCATCACTGTATGTAGATGATCTAGCCATCTTCGCCTCCGACCGTTCCATAAAAGTTCTCCATCAACTTGTCCATAACATCAATCTCTTCCTGGGCTACCAACCATGGCTTTCGTTTCTCTACCTCTAAAACCTTCTCCATCCTTTTCTCTCGTTCACGTATAGGCTCCCAACCTCCACTCCTCCTTTATGATACCCCCATCCAATCCCGATCTTCCGGCAAGTTTCTTGGAGTTATTTTCGACTCCAAGTTATCTTGGCGGGATCATATCCTTTCTATTAAAGAAAAAGCTCGCCATCGCCTCCGACTACTACAAACCCTCTCCCACCTATCCTGGGGATCAGACCGCAAAACACTCCTTCATCTCCATATTACTCTAATCCTCTCCACCCTTGACTATAGTTGCCATATATATTCTTCTGCCTCTGCCTCTCTTCTCTCTCTCCTCGATCCTATCCACCATTGTGGTCTCCGCTTAGCCCTAGGAGCTTTCCGATCCTCTCCAGTTGAGAGCCTATACGTTGAATCAGGACTACCATCCCTCTCTAGACGCTACGCTCTTCTGTCCCTAAGAAACTATGCTCGCTTCCACCAATTTTCACTCTCCAAACTAACTGTCCCTCAACCTCTTCTTCGCATCTTATCTTCCTCTCCACGACTACCTGTCCCTTTCCCTGTTCGTATACACGCTCTTCTCTCCCATTCATCCTTTCCTCATCTCCGAATTCTTCCTCTTTCTACCCAAACTTTCCCTCCCTGGCTAGTACCAGTCTCTTGTAATTGCTCCTCTATTTTCCCTGATCTACCAAAGTCAAACATTCCACCTTCTATCCTTCTCACACATTTCCTTGCTCATATCTCTAGTCACTCCTCTAGCACTCATATCTATACTGACGGGTCTAAATCCAACTCAGGTGCTGGTTTTGCTGTAGTCTTTCCCTCTCAGACATACAGCTTTCCTCTTCCACCTGAATCAAGCGTCCTTACAACAGAACTATATGCTATCCTCTTTGCTCTACAACGCATATCTTCCATCTCTTCCTCATCCTTCACCATCTTCACTGACTCACGTAACTCAATATCATTCATACAATCCATACACCCTACCAACCCTATAGCCCATAAAATACACGACCAGCTATTCTATCTGTCTACACGACAGAAAACAGTGAATTTTTGCTGGATACCCAGCCATGTCGGGATTCCCGGCAACGAAAAAGCAGATAACTTAGCATGATCTGCTGCCCTGCCCACAAGTCACCAACCCCGTTTTTCACACATCCCAGCCACCGACTACTACCCTCACTTCAAAACTTTTCTTTACAACTGATGGCAATCCTTCTGGTCAGGTCTGTGCACCAACAAACTCCAAACCATAAAACCCTCAATCTCCCCTTGGTCAGCTCCATACCATCAAAACAGACGTTGGGAAACTGCCCTTGCCCGCCTACGAATAGGCCACACCAGAATCACTCACTCATACCTCATGTCACATCCCTCTAACCTACCTCTATGCCCTACATGCAATGTCCTTCTCTCTGTCCCACATATCCTAATATCCTGTCCTCGCTTTACCGAAGCCCGTATCCTTACTTTTCCTCACATATCCTATCTTCCCCGACCCTCCAACCTGTCAGACATCCTTACAGAATCCCCCACCTTTTTTATTGATAATTTATTCTCCTTCCTCAGATGCATAAATATCCTTCATTTGATCTAATCACCCATCGTCCTTAACCCTTCCTCTTCTCATCAATACCTATCCTACTCCCATCTACCATCTCCTCCTACTCCTTTAAATACTATACTATCATACAATAAATGACCGTCGAAACTTAACATTTTAATTGTAATAAAGAATTTAAAAACCCTCCCAACACAATACAATACCATAGTGCTATATGACCTTTGATGTCTAGCACATTTATTTTCTTGTCATTATTACTTTGCATCAGCGGATCACTGTTGTTTAATTCTACAGGGCCATGTGGCCAATTTTCACACTCAAAGTCCCGTGAAAAGACAAAATCTAATTACAGGGCGATGTAAAAGTATGTATATAAGGTATATAAGCACATATACAGTGAACCCTCTTTTTTCGTGGGGGTTACGTTCCAAAAAGAACCTGTGATAGGCGAAATCTGTGAAGTAGTAACCTTTATTTTTTTACAATTATTATACAATGAAATACTCTACAATACATTGAAACCAAAGAACAAAACCTTTTTACAGGTCCAAGCATTTGTTTAACAAATAAAAGTACTGTATAAACGTTTTTTACAAATAACTACTGTACTGTAAAATTACAATTTTAATCATTAATACGAACTGAAGGCTTCATGGGTTTTAAAGAAAATTTGCAAACCAAGTTGTTTTACGTACATGTACATATTGAACCGTAACGTTATTGACACAGGTAGAGAAGAAGCTGAGAGACTGGTTAGCCAATCAGAATGCAGAACACAATGCACAATGCAGATCTGTGAAGCAGCAAGAACGTGAAAGGTGAACTGCGTTATAGCGAGTGTTTTCGTGTACCCCATGACCTTTTGTTTATTTATATTGTTACCTCCATTTGTTTGTTTGTTTGTTGATTGTTTTTGTTGTTTTTTTGTTTGTGTTTTCTAATATTTCTAAAGTTATAAACACATTTTAAAGAGATTTTAACCAAAGGTGTGTTTTAACCTAACTTAGACGCTTATTGCACTTGGGTGGTGATGTGGACCATGGTTTGGATCCAGGATTTTGTTTAACTTTAAAAGTTATGAACAGATTTGAATAAAATTTTTACCTGAGGTTTGTCTTAGCCTAATTAATATTTCATAAAGTTTTGGTGGTGATCCGGATACTTTAGCATTCCTATCTCCCATTTGGGGGGGTGAGATTTGCATTTTAGATCAAACTATGTTTATTTATTTGTATGAAAAATTTCTTCATTATCGTTTTTTGGACACATGCCAGATTTTTTAAGACATTGGTGAGAATAATTTTAGTTATAGAAAATGCTCTTGAGTCTCAATAGAAAGAAAGGATGCTAACTGGCTGAAAACTTGTGGACACTACCTGTGCTCCTGGTCTGATTAGATGTTATTTGATAGTAAAGAGATAATGAACTAGGCAATGATGTAAAATTTATCTTGTATCTCCTAGGCAGGGCAGATTGGTTTGGTCATGGAGTTGTTGGGAAGAGGTCAGGTCAATGAGACAAGGGAAAGGCTGCAACAGTTGCAACACTCCTTTACCTTTACTGGAACAGCAACAAATCAACGGCGAAGTATGAGAGACTTGTCACCAGGACCTCTTTCTACTATTACAGAAGATAATGATACAATGGGTAGGTATTGCATAGATTGGATTGTTTGAGGCATATATTGAAAGTTATTAGGTTCTTTCTTATATTGAAGTGAAATTCTTTTTGCAAATGTACTTATATAATGCTATCTTTTCTTTCTTGTCTGAGCTATATCCATACTGCTGTTTTTTTTTTTTTTTTTTTTTTGTGACTCATTTTTTTCTCTAGGTTCCATCCTTAGTGTATCAGACATTGATATTACTGAGGATGATTTAGAAGAAACACGTCTGAGATCAGGACGATCATTCAAACGCAGATCCTCACCAGAACGCCAGGATTCTTCTAAGGGAAAGAGGCGCTCAGGCAGGAGAAGTGAGGTAAACAATATTTATTTTATGAGTTAATTGATTTGGACTTTTCTTCTTCTTCATCTCCTTACATTTATTGATTGATTTATTCATTTTATTTTAAATGTATACATATCTGACATCACTCTAAAAATATAAAGTATATGTATGCTTATGTAGATGTACAAACATTAGTATATGAACATACATGCATATAGATATGGACATAGATAATTATAGGTACATTTTTAAGTTGCTTATGATTTTGATTTCTTGCTTTTTGTTTCACTTCATATAGTGTTTCGGTGTGTCATTGTTTAACATTTCATTAAAGGAGATCCAGAGCCATGAGGTGAAGACTCAAGTTACATATTATACTCAAGGTGATGAGATTAAGAAAATCCATACAGAAATGAAAGTCAAGCCATCAGCACCTCCACTTTCCACAGGTAAGATTTATTTCTAAACTCTTAGTTTTATTTTGCTGGTTAGTCAGGATTGCTTAATACATTTTTTGTGTTACACATTCTGCTACCACCAATAAAGAAATAAGTGTGTGTGTGTGGGTGAATATTGTATATTCCTTTCTGTTCCTTTGGCATATGAAAACAGTCATATTCATGTCAAACATAACAAGCAAAGGTTGATGTAAGCAGTGCATTGATATATCAAACTGTGAATGGGTGTTCTGTGCTTGATATCACAAATTTATACAGAATGCACAATGAAGAAAATAAGGCATTATTTTGTTACATAGGCCTATCTATACTGAACATATTATATGATAATGTGTATGTATTCTAGTGTGCTTTAGAACAGATTTACTTAATATATTCCTTATTAGTAATCTACAACCATATTTTTCTATCCTATCAAAAGTTATCACAGCATAACAGTAAATCACGATACCTATATTAAATATCAATATTAAATTTCTTGGAATATTTATGTTTGAAATTTTGTCAGGAAAATGTCAGGAAGGTTACATTGCTCTGCTGCTTTACTAAGACTGTCTGTATTAAGCTAGCAGTGCAATTTGGTTTTCTACAATAGTGAAAATTATTAAAAAAAATAATTTAACAGAGACAAATTATATGACATTCAGCTTTTGTTTGCTGTTGAAATGCAGTTTACATTTAGAAGACTTGAAATTTTAGATTATGAACTTTCTCTCCAATCAGTCTTACCTTGTTACACAGTTTTCACAAAGTCATATCATGAACCTGGGAGAAAGGTAGGAGATGGAGAATGGTTTTAACATTATTAGGGTTCAACCTAAAATTGTCTTGAATAGCAGTCCATTGAGACTCAATTTTTAGGTGTATTTGTTTACAGCAGTCATTGTACCTGATAATTATTGCCATGGCACCATGTGCATGCGCTTACATATAAATTCATATCTTTAAACATGTGTTAATTTGGCAATGCAGGAAGTTGTGAAGGCAATTTCATTGGGCATCATACATCACTAGGGAAAGCTAACTCAGAGAAGGTCAAGACAGTGAGGTTTTTATGATGACAGTCAGGAGGAGGAATGAGTTGGGCTAGTGAAGAGGGGAACCTACAGAGAAGTACAATGCAGTATTTTCCAGACTCCCCTCTCCCCTCTTGTTAAGTTAGTGTTTGCTGTGTGTAGAGTTTATGTAGATGATAACAGTAGTTGTATGTGGTCTCCTCTTTATAGTGATGATAGTGATTTATGGTTTCCTTGTCATACAATCAAATTGTAAGGATATTTTATTCTTAGACCTTATTTTTTTGTAGATATCCCTAGATTCTGACCGTTCTCTGTATGCACAGGAATATATGTAGATAAGTATGATTGGGTAAATTGGGTTTCAGTAAAAGGATGGAAACTTTTAACCATTTTTTTTTTAATGTGCAGGAATGAGAAATAAAACATAACAATAAAACAAATCAATGTCACTTCTCATGGATACTTCCCTTGTACTGTACTGTTATGTCACTTTCACTCTCACTTATTTTCCTATATACTCTTCTATTTTTCTAAGACTTCTTCACAGCAATACCAAGTGGTTCATATAGAGTTCCTGTTCTGCAAAATTGCAGGATTGTAGCTTTTATCTCTTTGGGCATGTATACACCACCTTTAGGGAAGGACATCACATTTTTAATAATTATTCAACAATTAATTGCATACACAATAAAATGATTACTTCTTACAGCAATTTGATAATGTGCTACCTTCTATGCGCACTTTTCACTCGCATACATACATGCATACACCATACCTTAACAATCACACACAGGTCGTCAATGTTTAAGCTGTGGTTATGTGATTGACACATATTCAAGGTTTCATGACATCAAATCATAATTGTGGAGGGCTACTTAGTAGACTTATTATTCTGTTTTACCTTGTGTCAGTAGAAATATCTGTCTGTGCAAATATTTAGGGGATATAGAGAACAGAAAAACATGAATGGTAAATGATGCTGAGAGGATTTGTGAGTGACTGGCTTAGTGGCTGTTATGGCCTGTTGCAGTGGCTAATTCATTCACTCACTCACTCTCTCACTCTCTCTCTCTCT